AGGGGAGCTGGGGGGAGCGGGGGGGAGCTAGCAAAAAAGTAGGATTATTCAAAAAATGAAAGAAAATGAAAGAATAACTACCTTTGTTTGGCGGGAGCTGAGGGGGCGCTGGGAGAAGCAGGGGTAGGTGGGGGGTAGCGAAACCTCGCTCTAACTCTTACGGCTATATAATATAGGAAGATATATATATATTTATTCATTTATTTATAAACTACATTTTTCCGACATGGAACTTTATTATATTGTAAGCTCGCTTTTTCAGATGCAAAGAACTTATTCTTGAAGTCATTGCTTTTTAGGGGGGCCTTGTCTGACTTTGTTTTAGTATTGTTTCATTACCAACGATTTGTTTTAGAATCATACAGCAAAACAACTTGATATGATTGCTAGCATAAGTTAAGGAGAACTTTTTTTGATATACTTGCAAGAAGTCAGCAGTGCTTAGTTTGACAATAATCAACAATTTTAAGAAACTGTAGGGAAGTAGAAGAGAATATATTAATATTTTGTTTCTGCTCACTCTTGATTTACTACATGCCTCAGTTTTCTTGCACCCTACACTTTGCTTACTAGAATATTATTTTGCTTTTTACTACATAATCCGAGTACATTATACTTACGAGCGGACTACTACTATGATTGTTGCTATTGTGTTTAATATATGGTTCTGACATATGTAAAAGTAATAACTCTTTAACTTGAAACCTAGGAAAGACTCACGCAACGAACTGATTTGTGCTTTCTTTTATATTCCACCATTGCCTGTTGGGGCATGAAATCCAGTGCAACTTCTTTCAGGGCTCTCCATATAAATTTGTAAGCTGTACTTCTAATCCTGCTCATGAGAATCTATGTGCAGGGGACAACCTATTACAATAATTTATAAAATTATTATATTGAAATAGGTAGTACGTAAACTGAAGGTAGCTAAAGTTTTTACTATTTCCCTAGAAACTGCAATTTGCACTTGCCAAATATAATAAAAATTGGTGTAATTTATCGATATCCACTCAATATATATTTCTATTAAAAGTTTTTTGTATTCATCTCATTAAAATCATGAAGCAATTTAATATTGCACTTTATATTATTTTCAATAATAACGAGGTACACTTAAAATTTAAGGTGGGCTATTTCGAATCTGTAATTTTGTGATTGTTGACAAGAAAAAGAAAATAAGAAACAAATGGCTTAATTTACGCAAAAACTGCGTTTTTGCATTCAACGCACAAGTGATATGAAGGAGTATGTAACTGTTATTACCACACTGTGTTAAAAGTTGGTACTTTTAGATGCAGGGTTGGTAAAAAAATTATATATTCCATACGACAAAGAGACGAAAGGCTTAGAATACAATGATTGTCGCCCTTGGCTTATTGCCTCGAGTGTCAATCGTATGTATTCTAAATAATTTGTTATTTTATCCTTTTCACAATTCAAGGCGTTAATTTTATCTTACAGACTAAAGTGTTGAATAGAAGAAAGTAATCTTTTTCAATAATTTATAAGTCTTACGTGAAATTTGTAATCTGAATTGTGTAGCAAGTAAGATTCATAGAGAAAAACAGTAATTTTGCGATTTTTCGGTATTTATTGCAATTTAAAACGACAATTCGATACCACAACTTAATATGATAAATACAAAAAACTCATATTTTAACGAGATCTGCATTTCTCATATTTAGTTTTGTATAAAAATTGCTAGACAAAAAAGTTAAATAGAGGAAAAAAACTTTTTACTCATTTTACAAGCACTTATTGGCTCAGAAAACGTGTGGATTGCATTATACAACTGAGATCTACAACTTTTACTTTTTGTATTAGAATTCAAAATTGGAAAGAAATAAGTTGGATAAGGAAACACCACACTTTTTCAATTTTTAAGCCCTTTTTGACTCACGGAACGTTAGGGTTACATCCTAGACGAAAATGTTAAAGACGAAAAAGTTGTATGTCAATTGCATCTATAACTTTGTTGTTTTCAGCAAAATGTAAAAATATCATGTAACAAAGTTATAGCGAAAAAAAAACTCTTTTTTTTCACTGAAAAATACTATCTTAAAATGTCTGCCACTTTTTTTCTAATACAAGAAACCTCACCAATTTTGAAAGATCACGTCCCTACTGATTGATATTTTGTAATCACATATGTAGTTTCATCTGTATTTACAATTGTAAAGTCACTTGGAATTCTATTTGGAATTCCACTTGGAATTCCACATGGGATTCCACTTGGAATTCCACGTGGGATTTTGGATTGGAAACTCCAAGAGTCATTCCAAGTGGCATTCCAAGTGGAATTACAAATGACCACTGAAGATACATTTTTTCCTTTTTTAAAATAGTTAAAGTTGAAATTTCAAGCAGTATAATGGCCAAAAGAGGTGTTATCATCCATATAGTAACACCAAATCAAAGGGGTTCAAGTATTTGTTCTCAGATTTCGAAAAAATAGATTTTTTTATTTTTCGTTCAAATTTTCTTGAAATGACTTGAACCCCTCTGCTTTGGTGTTACTACATGGATGATAACACCTATAATGGCCATTATACTGCTTGAAATTTCAATTTTAACTACTTTAAAAAAGGAAAAAATGTACCTTTAGTAGTCATTTGTAATTCCACTTGGAATGACACTTGGAGTTTCCAATCCAAAATCCCATGTGGAATTCCAAGGAGAATTCCAAGTGACTTTACAAGTGTAAATACATATGGAATTACATATGTAATTACAATTAAAATATCAATCAGTAGGGGTGAGACAATAAAAGATGAAGCTCTCTATAAAATTTTAGCCAAATCTATCTATCCTATAGAAGTATAACTTGAAAAACGGTATAAATTTGGAGCACTCAATGATCTTCAGCTTTATTTAATACGCAGTCACACTATACGTGTGCAAAGTAACATGAACAAAAGACGACATGGACTACATTAAAAAAAAAAAAAAAAAATCGAATCTAATGAATTAGACCTGTAATATTATAACGACATAAAATAAATTATCATGTATGCAATAGTTCTCCTACTATGTACAAAAGCTGGTAATTGAATATGAAATAAGCAAAACTATTTATCACATAAAAATTTATTACAACTAGTCATATGCATATGAAATACTAAATGTCACTAGCTTTAATTGAGCTATACTTTTTTCGAATGCTGCTTCTGTTCTTACAACTTTTTGCTGATTATTCTTTACATTGTAGGATACAATGCCTAAACAGCAATTTCGTTGTTTCTATAATCATGGTAATTAAAATTCATTAATAACTCATATTATCACTTACATATAGCATTTAATGCGAGGCACAACTAACGTACAAGATGCCAGGGACGGGATTGTTGTGTGTACTGTAAAATCTAATTATAACAAAATTCTAAAAGTTTATTGTCGTCCCTTCAAAAGACTCATATTAATAATAGATAATAATTAAACAATTACATAATACACAATGACTTTTGAGACATTTGTAAATGACTGTTATATTCCTTGCCAATACCACATGAGAGACAAAAACGATCTGCACAAAAAAAGTATATTTGTACGAAAGCTTTTACTTTTGTATTTGACATTAAATCCGCAAATGGAATAAAAAAACAGCTAATTAATACAAAAAAATTTTTTGACTATTCTAAAATAATTTTTGTTATTAAAACCTTGAGATAAAACTAGGGATAAAATCATTTTTTTACAAAACAGTTGCATTTAGATTATTTGCACAACTTCTTCGTCATTCGACATTTGTTGTACAGTTTGGATGTAATTCCGTAGGGAACAGACAACCTTATATTTTTGAGACTATTTCCTATTATAAAGTTTCTGTTTTGCATAACAGAGCAAAAAGTGTAGCACAAAAAGTTTACTATTCGTTAAGACTCACAACTTCGCCTTGAATGCAAACATATCAATTATGTATGGAACAAGTGACCAATGCAGGCAAATCAATACTGGAAAAAGTTGTATAATACATTACATTAAAATTTTACATTAAAAAAGTTTCCTCAGACTTACTGACGGAATATTTCATCAAATATGTTACAAATTGATGTTAAAACACAATTTTTGCTGAAGTCATTTTAAAAATTTTTTTCGCATCTGTTGTTTACCCAATGACTCATGAGATCCTTTCAAACATGTTTAGTTTCCACACACTTCTATAGTCAATGGATTTGTTGTACGATTAAGGTGGCTTAGGCGTATGGTGCCATAACAAGCGAAGGGATTGTGAGAGGGCAAACATATATTTACAGAAATGTCATGCAAATTTTCCCAACAATGATTACTTTTTGTTGTACTGTAAATTTAAGAGACTCAACGTACAAAAAACAATAAATGCAATGTAAATTAAAATGTGTAAGCCCCCCCCCCTCAAATATATTATGGCCCTGCAAACGTATAAGTGGCAACATCTTATAAACTGTGCTCTTGCCTTTATGCCTTCGGCGTCTGCACTCCTATCTCTGTTTGTCTGTTATCATAGTATTTTTCTCCATTTTTGTCATTCAAAAAGTTTAGTTCTTTTGTGTCTTGAAAAAATGCCGTACAATATTCGTGGTGTCGGAAGAAAGTGAAAAAAAAATTTATGAAAAATAAAGAGAATAGATAATAAACTTCATCAAATAGGATTGTAAAGGAAGGAAAATGTTGCTCTTCAGCAGTTTAGGTTAGTTTTAAAACGACGTGATGTATGTACACATTCATTCAGTGAAAAAAGTAAACTTTGTTGTCAATATGGAGTAAAATAAATAAATGACTCGTTACCATAGGTACCATTACACACGCTAATTATAAAGCTAAAAAATCAAACGAGCCGCAATGGCGTAAAATTGTTGAACTTAGATCATCAGCCAGTATTTGGTGTAATGTATACAACAATGTTCTCTACTTATCTGTCACGTATGAATGAAAAAATGATTGGATTAGTTTCCAAGTGGTTCTTAAGAAGATGTCACTTGGTAGGTAGATAATGTAAGATATGACAAATTACTTATAATTAAAGTACGCTATAGGAAAAAGTTTAAATTTTATTATTTTAACAGGCATGCTTGATGCAGGCATAGGAGAAACTAAAGTAAATACATCTGCCCTCAACATACCTACACTAGAGCATAAAACTTTGAAACGTCATGAAAGGTACGTTGGATAAGGAGTTGAGACGGTAGCACAGCAGTCTTGCATCGAAGCTATAGAAGAGAAAAAATCATTAACTCTGAAGTATGAAAGTACTCGCTCCGAGCCGATACAGAGGTTGCGCCCCCTCTAGCCAAAATCAGGCAAAATTTCTTGCATGTAAACAAACGGTTTAGAACATATATACATGCGTATAGCTGCTTGTGATTGGCTGAATAAGACAGCAGGAGAGGATCGTCGTTCTCTCTCTAGCCTGCCAAGTGCCAATCACAAGCAGCTGTACGTATGTATATATGTTCTAAACCGTTTGTTTACATGCAAGAAATTTTGCCTGATTTTGGCTAGAGGGGGCGCAACCTCTGTATCGGCTCGGAGCGAATAGAGTAAGCTGTAGTAATTGTTATCAACGAGGTACTTCGCATGTTTTATACGAAGAATATTATGTTGATTATTCAATTTCAATTTATTTTCCATACAAACATTTTTTTTTTTATGTAATTGATTGTGTACTATAAATATTTTTCTACTTTTTACACACAATTGTATGTACAAGCTAGTTAAATATTATTAATGGTACGTATATGAGGAATATTAACTTGATTGTTAAGTGATAAACTTAACAAAACTGTGTATTTGATTTTTTACGTCTTATTTACAATGATAATACTAAAAAAAAATTTAAATGTATCATTTTCAAAATAAATTTTGATCCGTTTTTTCCCTCTTTCTTTAGCAAATCATCAGTATCTGCCACGACGGACAACACCACTGAAAATATGATCTCAGATCTCCTCGCATCGTTTGATTCTGCATCGATAAAGAGGTCTCTTCAAAATTACAATTTCAACAGTAACAGTAAAACATTTGCTAGGGAAACGTGAACATGCATGTACGTGCAGACGAGCAACCAGAGTGTGGGACTCGGAGTCCCCCGGTAAAAACAGAGTTCTTGCACGTTTGTAGAAATCACATGTATACTGTAAAATACAAGATTCGTCAATAGTAATAAAACTATGCTATAAGTATATATCAATACATTGTATTAATTGATAGGTCATGTCTCTTTAATGGGAATACTCTCTAACAAAATCATCGGATTTACGTGTCACAATGTACATTAAAAACAATGTAAGCAGTTTGCTCCCAGAAATCCTGACTGTAGAAAACACCATAGCAGTTCTTTGCAACCCATGGAAGCAGATATTGTAGCGGATCTTGTTTTGAAAAGTTATAACCTAGTTGAATTAAAGTGTCGAATCAAGACATTAGTTGGCGATGATAATTCATCTGCAACTGCTGCAGCTTTATGTCAATTATCTTTGTATGCTATATGTATATATATATCTTTTTTTATTTTCTACAATCATTTCTGAGAACTGCGTCTAATGGGCTCTGCATTACAGTATTACTATGCTTATATATGCTGTCGTCATTGGCATAGTGAAAAATCGCGTCAGATTTTATTGTGACATTAATCACTTACATAGCAAAGGGGACCTTATTTTACGTGGCTCCAAACCATCGGATCACAGTTTAGTTAGAATACGCATATGAGAAAGTAGATTCTCAGAGGTGCGAGCCAAGTGAATGAGGTCCGAGTCTTGAACTCGTGAGCATGCATTACCAAGCCCCCCAAGCTACAAGAACAGTAGCCTGTACCACTGTGCTACCGTGGTCCGTGTATGCTGTAATTAACTTGTCAGATTTTAACTACGTAGCAAAACGTTTAACTCAAAATTCTATGAACTCAAATGAAATTTTTCCATCTGAGAGTTCCTTTTTAAATTGTTTACTTTGTCAGTGAAAAAAATCAAGGCTACAAGTTCAAAGTTAAAGTTTCATTAGAAAACGCAATATCTCATGCGCTTAGGAAGCATTAAAATTATGGAACTTTTTGTAAAAAACAACATGATGGTACACACACATCTAAATATTTCAAGCATGGTAAATGCTTGACTATTGTCACTTTAAGAGAACGCCAAAAAAATTTCTGCAGCCTTTTATCAAGAGCGTGTCACAGATAGCGCACTGCTCTTCCAGTCAGGCAAATGAATCTTTCAACAATACTGTCATCACAAAGCACCCAAAATCTGTTTTTTACGGAGGTTTAGAGTCACATAGTTTTAGTCTCCTGGAGTACTTACTGCGAATTCTTACAAACGAAAGCAAGAAGTTTGTTGTCGTGAAATTAAATAAAAACAACAAATTCCGAAAAAAGGCGACGTCTTATTATCATCATGCAAGACATTAGGTTTTTTTAAAGAGTTTAAGTTATTTTTTAAGGGATTCTATGATACTCTACATTTATTAAATCTGTACTATCTGATAGGACAATAGAGAAGCAATAATTTAATCTAAGTAGTTTAGCAAATGATTATTTAAACAAGAAAGATATATTAATATAGTACAATATATATGTATATAGTACAAAATATCAAAAACATAGAATTTTTAAAAAATTACAAAGATAGGTTGAACAAAACCAAAAAACACAAGAAATCTATATTAGATATTGACATATAAAAAAATTTAATCCGAAAAATAGCTTAAAATGCAATTCATAGCAAAATACTTGACGAAGCTATTAAGTAGTTACTTGTATAGTCTTTTTCCATGTCAGAATTTCTACATATTCCAGGATAATTTTTTTACGTACGCCATACTCAATTATATCTCTTACGTACGAGTTCAAATCTGGTGGCACATTTGCCGATGTGGTGTTGCCAAATTTAAAATGCACAATCAGAATGTATATGGAAACATGCACGAATATAGGTAACATAATATTTTTCATAGTTCCTTTTCATTTCCTCTAAATTAAATTCGTCAACATTGTATTTTCGTGGTTCAAATTGAAAAAAAAAAAAAAAAACTATAAATACGTCTTTGATTTACTAAAATCTAGCAACTCAGTTTTTTGTATGAATAGTTTTTATGTACAATTATATAAAGCATAGAGTTTACATAAACATTTTTCAAACTTGATTTTCTCCAAAATAAAGTAGTCAATCAGGCTGTTTCTTTTTCAACATGTAATAATCTAGGATAAAGAAATATATAACAATATTGCCAATTTTCATACTATTCCAACAGATAGATACATAACGCCTAAGCACCTTAATACGAAGTTTACCACCAAAGCCTCGTTTAAGGTAGTTGTACAGGTACCGCAAGAGTCATGAAACTTTTTGATTTGTGTAGTAGAACGATCTGGCAACGTCGCTTTGCGGTCATGTGTGTGTGCCTGTAAGTGTGTGTTCAGAGCATCATAGAAGGAGCACTTCGTTGATCAGCTGTAGCAAAAGGAGAAGCGACTGCTGACATTACTTTAGAAATGGTTATCGATGCTTATAAACAAAGAGGCCTTGATGGCCTATCTAGTCTACTTGGTGCTGATGAAAATGGCACGATTCGAGTAACTAAAAATAATAAAGTTAAAAATAGGCTATTTAATTATTTAAAAAATAAATGTTAAATATTTATTACATAAATATTAATTTATAACATGTTTATTTCATTTTTAAGTAATATATGGCAATAAAATTGTTTTGATGTTCTTTGTATATCAGTTCGTTTTATTATTTATATATTTATTTATCATATTTATTTAAAATATACGTCCTATAACAATAATTGAAAATCTATAAGAGAGATTGCAGTAATCAGGATTTACGAGCAATCATATGTACCTATTTACCTTTCAAACCGCGCGCGTAATATCAGATTATGCGGCGTTGCCATATTTTCAAATAGCGTCTCACAAATGCACGTTCTTCACGCTTTACTATTTAATTACTTTTCTCACAAGTACCCTTGGAAGGTTTTGAAAGCGAATATATAATTGTCATTTAATTATCTTTCTACTGTCCAAAGGGCATCAGAACCTATCCTATATTAGCAACGATATGAATGATAATATACAGACAGCTCCGCGGTTTCCCATAAGACGCCATGTTGAATTGGCATGTAAACAAAAACTCAAGGCATGCAAATAATTATGAATATCTCCCTTTATAGGTACCCTCGGGTCACAAAAATTTAGATTTCTTATTTTTATGCATTAATCTACCATCCTGCAAAATATCATAATTTTCTATCCTATATTTCAATTTGCTGTACAACTACCTTAATACACGAAATACCTGTAGGATATTATAGACAAAGACAATTTATAACTAAACTTATTACAATCACTTTCAAGAAATGTTTTGTTGTTACCACACGTTACTTTTACTCATAAAAGCACATAAGAGAAAGAAGTAACGTATTAGTATTTTATTGATGGATCTAGTTTTGGGATAGGATAAAAAAAGTAATTTTCCTATTTAAATTACGAAGTGAAACTAAAACAGTGAGGCAGAATCCTTCAATAATTTTTTAAGTGATTTTTTACTTAGTCCATTAAATAATTTAAAATATTAATTTTCTAGGCATCCAGGGTGAGAGAAAAAAATAGGAAATAACGGGTACACTATATACAAATGCACACGCACGCGAACGCACATATGTAACTTAGTGGGCACATGTACGTTTTCGTCGCAACATTGTTTGAAAAGAACAAAGAAGATTTTAAAAATAAAGTAATGCTCTTGATGAAAGCCTTAATGTTTATTAGGCAACGTTGGAAAAGGTAGAGAAGGTTTGATTTCAATTGAGGTTTAAGAAAAATTGCCTTAAGTAGATATTGATGATACAAACTGAAATCAACTAATGATGAAATAACTAAAATTAAGCCTATTTATTTGCGGAAAACGATCCAAAAGAAATGGTGAAAATGACCAAAAGCAGTTTTTTATTTTTTTTATTTACGAAGCATGAGCATAATCAAAGATTTTTTTGTTTAACTCAATCCAACGATGTCCAACACCATAATTTTGATGTGACAACTTAGACGTAAGAGAAGAGGTCAAAACTTTGGTTAGTTGTTAATTAACTATTCAAGAAGATGATACCACAAAAGATAGTGCGATACCGTACCACAACATTTTTACGGAAATTTTATCAAAGTGCTTTTTTGCATTAAGCTCCCATTTACAAAAACTATACATCCGATGTTGCTAAAACTTCGTGCGGTAGTTGGTGGGCATAAAATCTACAACCTGTTATAATTTTAGCTATTAGTCTTCGAACAAAAAAGATGAGTTATAAAGGTTTAAAATTTTGAAAAAAGTCAATGGGTTCTGAAATTTCGGGATCACTACTGGACCAATTGGGTTTATTCGCAGCTCATTTTTCCGTTTTTTTATAGTACGTAAGCTCATAAAAAGATTTTTGCGAAATAATATTTAAAACTCAATCCAACGATGTTCAACGCAAAAAATCGGTTTTGGCCGTTTCTTTTATACCATTGCCTGCTACCAAAGTGTTCTAATTAAGTTTATTCAATTTGCATCATAACCATCTACTTAAGGAAATTTTTTTTCAGAACTCGCAATCAAAAAATACCGACATTTTTTGCTTCTTCTCATTTTACCAGTAGAGTGCTATGTACGGCCAATATGGTACTAAAGTTCGAAAAATTTCGGAAACAAAATCAAGCAGCCTAGTATATAAAATATCGTAGAACAGTGCTAATAACACATGTAACAGCAAAGATCTTTAAGTTTCAATAGAAAATTATTTGGCATCGTTTAATGACCACTAGCCATCGTTAAAATACACTTAATTAAAATCATTTTGACTTGGTGTGCAGAAAATGACGACAGCACTGTAGTGGGGAAAGCGGCAGACTACTGCATCAGTTCAGAGATCGCGGCTCCCTAGTTACTA